AATTGAGGTTTTTTCCTGTGGAATGCAAAAGGTGTTTGGTTCCCAAGGGACACTGCTACTAATAAAATGTATAATTTGAATGCACTTTAAGTCATAGCATCTGCCATCTGTAGAATATTAGTTATTTAACATGTTTTTTTTTTCCCATCACAGCTAGTCGGACATTTTTAACAAAATAACCACTATAGCAAGTGTGTACCATTATGTACAATACTGTTCAGAATTTTGAGCTTGCAAGCTTTTTTAAATGTTTTTTAAAGGAGTCTCTTACGCTTACCAAGGCTACATTTATTTGATAAAAAATACAGTGAATCTGTAATATTGTAAAATATTACAATTTAAAATATTTTCTATTTGAATACATTTTAAAATGTAATTTATTCCTGTGATGCAAAGCTGAATTTTCAGCATTCATTAATTATCATTATTTATTTTTATTTTCTGATTTGAATTTTTAGTAATTTTGTTGTCTTTTTTTATTTATTTATTTATTTGTTAAATATGGAATAAATCAATTTATGTCACTAAATTAATTTAAATATGTCTATATAGTTTTTATTCATTTTATTTCAGTTATAATATGATCCTTCAGAAATCATTCTAAGTTGCTGATTTAATGCTGAAGAATCATTTCTTATTATTATCAATTTTAAAAACCTCTTAATACTTTTGTGTAAACTATGATATATTTTTTTAAGGAATGAATTCTGTAATGAATTGAAAGTTCAAAAGATAAAACATTTATATGAAATATAATTTTTTTTGTAACAATGTATAAGACTTTACCGTCACTTTTGATCATTTTAATGCACCCTTGCCTAATAAAAGTATTAATTTATTTCGAAAAAAAAAACTTACTAACCCTAAACATTTGAATGGTAGTGTGGATTCTAAATGTTTGCAAGAAATAAAATGCATAAAAATAATCAATGCATGTTTTATACTATGTTTCTCACTAAGTACAAATAAAATAAAATATTAAACGTTTTCTTTTGAAAAATGTAACTAATGGTTTGGCACGATGTGAGGATGAGTATAAAACTTGTGTTTATAGTTTGAAACTATTTTTAAAAAATTTATATAGACAAACTCTCTGGTCTTGCTTCAAGGGAACAGGTTGACATTTCGTGGTTGAATGTTTTAATATTCTGCAGGCATATTCATCTAAACAGCAGTGCACTAGAATCTCCTTTCAATGTCCTACATTGCACAGCTTGTTGGTGTGCTATGCAGTATTTCATAAGTGGAGAGCTTACTTGGGACATACGTACCTGTAGTCTCGGGCTCAGACAGCGTGACCACTGACTGTTTACTGACCGTCTGCGTATTGCACACAAAAAATGTCAAGTCCTTTCTCAAACATTGAGCTCCAAACTGATTGCCTGGCTTGACGCAATTTCCAAAAGTCAGAGTGCACAGGTTTATATCAGCGCACCGGGAAACAAACTTACCGGTCTGCTTCAGAAGAACTAAACATACATTTGTTCAAGTTTTTGACATTGAATCTTTGAAAGACAGTCAAAAGTTGTAATTTTGAGACACTTAGTGAACAAGCCAACCATTGTTTTTATCTGATTTCAGATTTACCCGCCTCCAAATGTCACATTAAGGAAAAGCTAACTGTGTTTGACGGTTAAAGACGCCCTCTTTCTGTCTAAGTGGGTGATTCTTGGCCAGAATAAGCTGCAGTGTGTACAAGACTTTGATCAGTAGCCTAAAGTCTGGATAGGACTTATTTAGGGGATTATGTAGTACTTGTAAGTGCTTATCCAAGTTTAGTAAGAACAGAAAACTTTTGATAAGTCAGGCAGCGAAAGCCGCTGCATGTGTGTAACTAGGAAAGCATGAAAAAGCGAACCAGATTTTAGCAGGATTGGCTGTTGTGTGTGTAAATTTAAATTCCCAAGTGCACAAGAGCAAGATTTCTGCCCGTTTAAGTGAACTTCTGAGTCGTCCCTCATAGTAACACCATCCGCAGTTATTAGAAAGTGCAGTGACCTCCTGCTGTTCTCCATGATAACTAAAACCCCGCCTTTGTAATCCAAGATTCCCAGCAGCTCAGCTCAGCAGTGCTCACTGAATCACAGAGGGAGAGGAGGATCAGACAGGAGATGAAGGCTTGTGGGAATGGAGAGTAATTTTGTTCTTTCCTCCTGAAGTTCACTGGTTTCTTGCACCAAAAATAGTTTTATAATAGCAGGGTTCGTACAGGGTGCTTAAAGTGCTTGAAGTACTTGAATTTGACTTTTTAAAATTTAAGTCCTGGAAAACCCTTGAAAACAGCCATATTTATGAAAAGGTACTTGAAAAGTACTTGAAAGTACTTGAAATGTTTAAAAGGCAGTATATATGAAATTAGTGTTAATTTTTGTTTTTTCGATAAAAAAAAAAATTTCCGCAAAATTTACGATGCAGCGCGTCTGATATAAATACAGAGCCGTTTCGCCTGGCTTCCGGGAGCGCACAAGATCTCGCGATATAACTCCTTAAGGTGAAAAGCAGTCTCGCGATATCAGTATAAAGTTGGTTTTGGGGTAAAACCTTTAATAGTGCTTGTATTATATTACTCTGTCTTTTATTGCATGTGCTGTTTGTTTGGGTTTCATTTAGGAACGCACATTAGTCTGACGCGCTTTGTGAGTGCGTCTTCATCTCAGCAGCTCAGTCCACAAAGTCTTCCTCTGAATATGCTGTGAGTTTGGGCTGCTTAACGTTCATCTGAGAAAACAGTGCTCGTTATCTCACTAGATTTGTAATGTAAATCATTTCTAAACCTATGCAAACACAGCAGAATATTTCCAGATCAACATATTTCTAGATATGCGATTTGTTGAACATCGCTATTTCAAAAGTTAAAAAGTTTTAACCCTCGCTCTGAGTTTGCATGTGACCAAATATTAAAATTAAATGGATTTAAATGTCGTTGAATCACGCTGTACAATGAAACTTCACCAGGCCGTTGGCGCCCTCTGCAGGTATTTGTTATAATGCATAACATACTTAAAGGGGTTATATGATGTGATTTTGATTTCAATTTTTCCTTTCTCTTTGGAGTGTTACAAGCACTTGGTGCATAAAGAAGATCTGTAAAGTTGCAAGGACTAAAGTCTCAAATCCAACCCCCACATGTCTACGTCACAATGTGGGAAGATTTACATAACGCCGCCCAAATGTTCACGCAAAGAAAGAAGGTGTAACTTTTATTCTCGCTGTAGTATTGTTGCTGTCGCCGCCGCCATGTCGTGGGGACGCTGTGTGTTTCGTTGTGAAAGTGAAACTCCTTTTTTGGCCTTCCAAAAGAGGACACAACTAGAAATCAGTGGTTAAGTTGTATTTACAACACTGTTCCAGAAAAGTACAACCCAAATATTCAGATGTGTGCAGCGCATTTTGCGGAGGATGAGGACTGTTTCCTGAGAGAGTAGCCTACAATGTCGTCGCTCCGGCCGGACAGGGCATCACAGTATGGTAGGGGCGTAACATTTCCGTCACACGCTTGAGGTATTCGGTCAATCACAACGCACTGGATAGCTGGCCAATCACAGCACACCTAGCTTTTCAGAACGATGAGCTTTGTAAAAATCAACGCGTTTCAGAAAGGCGGGGCATAGAGGAGAAACAATAATGTACATTATGTGGAAAATAATGTGTTTTTTTAACCTTAAACCGCATAAATACATTGCATTACACCAAATACACAAAAGAATGTTCTTTTTAGCAACGTCATATGACCCCTTTAAATAGGTTATGTTCATATTATGTATAGGCATATTACATTGTTTTTTAACAGTGTTCTTCAATAAAACCATGTGATTACTTGGTTTTGATACGTTATACTTTATTTGAACCAATTATTATTGTCTTATCGTTAGCTTCATATATATATATAAATGTAGTCAATATAAAGCCTGTTTGTCACTTAGGTCTATTTTATTACTGAAAAATCTGATTACTCAATTTTCATAATAATCAGTAGATTACTTGATTACTTGAAGATAATCATTAGTTACAGCCCTAGATTAGTTAAATGTTTCAAAATACAACTACATTGTTTTGCTTTTTGTGATTAAAGACAAATATTTTGTCATTGAAAATTTCTTTAAAATAGTATTAAAATACTGTCTCGTTCTAGTAAAGCAAGTATCTGTATTTTGTCTCATCTCGTGAGCTAAGTTTAATGTCACACCACTAGTGTCTACGAGCATGATATAGCTCATAACTTTCCAAATGTATGATGAAGCTTTTACTCTTCAGGTCAATCATATATTCATTTAAAAAAATCACTTTGAATAAGGAAAGCGATAACTTTGCCATAGTCTCCTTCAGGTTGCCACAGCCAAGGCATGCTTTGCATGTGCTGCAATTTTTCTATTTAAATATATATTAAAATGTCATTTATTCCTGTGATCAAAGCTGAATTTTCAGCATCATAACTCCAAAGTCTTCAGTGTCACACGATCCTTCAGAAATCATTCCAGTATGCTGATTTGCTGCTCAAGAAACATTTCTGATTTTTATTATCAATGTTGAAAACAGTTGTGCTGCTTCATATTGCTTGTGGAAACTGTGATGCATTTTATTCTCAGGATTCTTTATTTGAAATGTATTTACTGTCACTTTTAACCAATTTAATGCATCCTTGCTGAATCCAAGTATTATTCTTTTGCAAAAAAAACTTGATGCAAACTTTTAAAGGGTAACTTGTACAATGTAAATATGCATGTTTGCATGTTAATGTTATTGTGCACAGATTTCAGAACTAGATATTTTTGCGGTTTGGCTTCTTTCATAAATGGATTATTTCACCCCTATGTTTTGAGTTTTGAAACTGACACTATGTTTTCATAGTACATCTAGCTCTACATTTCAAAAGATCAAGGAAGATTAAATTTTTCAGGATATGACCCAAAAAGACTCCTGACTGAAACTGAGGACAAGAAGACTGTATTTCAACCAAAGCATGTTTGTGATCTCTGTGCTGTGATGTCTGTGTATATCAGAGGTCCTAATGGAGTGTGGACGATGGAGGAGAGAGGCGAGATGCCTCACTTTAACACCACATTTGAGGACGCGCGTCCCAGTCTGACTCACATGGCGCTGCTGCAGCTGCAGAGGACAGGACACCTCAAATACCTCATCAGCCAGAATGTAGACGGCCTTCACCTGCACTCCGGCTTCCCCAAGTAATGACAGATATTACACACAAAAACATCCAGTCAGATTGGCTGGCTTCATGCCGATCCCACATCTCTCATACTGAAAGTTCTGACCTCTGTCCCGTGTGTGATGTCAGATGTGTCATGTTGATTAGCCCTTTTAATTTTCCATTCCTGCAAGCGAATGCAATCAGCATGTCTTGTTCCAGGCAAATGACTTGAAGCTGTTAATGTAGAATTTAGCATATTGACATGATGAATTGCACATTTTATTCAAGCAGACATAATTAAAAGCCCTTAGTCATCATATACTGAACAAAAATATAAACGCAACACTTTTGTTTTTGCCCCTATTTTTCATGAGCTGAATCTCGTCACAGTATCTCTGTGCATTCAAAATGCCATCAATAAAATGCACCTGTGTTCGTTGTCCATAACATACGCCTGCCCATACCATAACCCCACCGCCACCATGGATGCTGTCTAATCAGCATCTTGATATGCCACACCTGTGAGGTGGATGGATTATCTCGGCAAAGGAGAAGTGCTCACTAACACAGATTTAGACAGATTTGTGAACAATATTTGAGAGAAATAGGCCTTTTGTGTACATAGAAAAAGTCTTAGTCTGAGTTCAGCTCATGAAAAATGGGGGCAAAAACAAAAGTGTTGCGTTTATATTTTTGTTCAGTGTATATTGTATTGTATTGTATTTTTATTTATTTATTTTTGTATTATTGTTTTGTATTTGAATTAGGGTTATTGTCATAAACTAAAACTCTAAAAAAAACTTTTAATTACTTTATATAATATAAACATTAACTGAAATAAATTAAAATACTAAAAAACTTATTTTATTTCAGATTGTTGCCAAGGAAATATTTGACATTTTTGTTTAGTTTCAGTGGAAGTACTAAAATTAAAACTTAAAAAAGATTATAAATTTCTATTATTTAAAAAAAAAAAAAAAACGGAAATGACAACAACATACAAACATTGCTTAAAATTAATGAATATTAAAATGGAAAATATAAAAATAAAGACTAATTCAGTACTAAAATGAATACTAACGTACTAAATAACTAAAACTTAAATTCATTTTTAACAAAAATACCAAAAAACGATGAAAGAAACAAAACAAATTACTAAAATTAAAAAGAAAAATTAAGATAGCTTGAATTCACTCTAAAAACTGTAATAGTAAATGAATTATACTAAAATAACACTGCTTTGAACTGATATAAACAACCCACAGTCATTTGCGCGTATTGATGGAATTGTGTCATCATTTACTCATCCTTTCTTTAATCACTCTTTCTCTTGTTATTGATTTTGGTTCACTTCTCATTCTTCTGTTCTTGTTGGGTTTGTTTATTTCTCTCTGTATCTGCTAGGGATCGATTGTCGGAGCTGCATGGGAACATGTTCGTTGAAGAATGTGAGAAGTGCGGCAAGTATGTAATCGATGCCACTGAACATGTTAATTAAATCTGTCTGCAAGATTAACCACGTCGTCTTATGTAGTTTAACAAGTACAAGACATTCAGGACTGGCTTAAACTTGTTGCTGTGTTACTGGTTACTATGGTCAGATAATGATGTAAAAAGACAGACTTTAAATGATTTATTTGACCAGCAGCACATAGTGGTGGAAACAAACTTTGGTCTAACTTAACTTTGTGAAGTTTCAAATGATAGGGGTCCTATTATGCTTTTTCACTTTTTTAATTTTAGTCAGTGTGTAGTGTGTATGTTTGAGCATAAAAAAGATCTAGAAAGTTACAAATCTCAAAGTCCACTCCAAAGGGAGATATTTCGTTTTTAAAAAATCCCTTTTCAAGAACTACAACGAACGGCTCGTTTGGACTACAGCGTTTGGTTTCCGGACTTTGTGATATCACAAAGCGGCTCATTAGAATATTATTAAAAATAATTCCCACCTACAGAAATTCGAATGGTTGGGGGGTGAGGAGGGGCGAGGTTGTGGTTAGAACGCTTGGTTGAGTGAGTGCATCAGACGAGACGATGAAGAAGAAGAGCTGCTGCAGAGTTAGTGCATCAGAGAAAACCAAGAAGAAGAGCTGCTGTGCTGTAGCTTCAAATTTTCGGCATTTCTAGAACAATTCTTACAAGTACAACACGACGTAGCTGGGCGCTGTGGACAGATGCAGAACGGCGCCGTCGGTGTGCCTACACTCATAGAAAATCCGGATTCGCCAAAAGTTTTTGTTGAAAGACGGAGCAAGGGGCGTTGCAGAAACAAAATCAAGACTTTGTAAAATAGCATAATAGGACCCCTCTAAGAAAGAACTTAAAACTAATTTATAGGTGAAGTATGTAAAGCAAAATCTGTTTAAAGCAAAATTTTGTGTTTATTACAGGTTAAGCTTAGTCAAAAGCATTTGTGGTTTATTACCACAAACATTATTTCCATTTGTCCCTCCTTTAAAAAAAAAAAAAAAAAACTAACTTACAATGGGACACTTACAGTGGACATAAATGAGGTCAGTCTTTGAAGATTAAAATATTTTGTTTCCTTGTCAAAGCAGATTTAAACCCGCAACCTTTGGGTTACGAGTCCGACTCTCTAACCATTAGGCCACGACTTCCCCCAATTAACATCTTGTGAAGCCAAAAGCTACATGTTTGTAATAAATAAATCCATCATAGGACGTTTTTAACTTAAACCGTTGCTTCTAGCTAAAATACGAGTCCTCTAACTATAATATTGCTTTCTCCAGTGAAAAAGTAATCCTGTCTGCACAGATCAAGCACTGTTTACAAGCCAAAACAGTTCAAAATAGCTCTAAACAAATATATTGGTGGCTTTTGATGTGAGGACAACAGGAGATGGAATTTTCACTGGAGGAAGTGTTATTATGGACTCGCATTTAAGATGAAATTGATGGCTTAAATTTAAAACGCCTTAATGTCACTTCACAAGACGTTAACTGATGGACTGGAGTGGTGTGGATTATTGTGATGTTTTTATCAGCTGTTTGGACTCTCATTCTGACGGCACCCATTCACTGCAGAGGATCCACTGGTGAGCAAGTGATGGAATGCTACATTTCTCCAAATCTGATGAAGAAACAAACTCATCTACATCTTGGGTTGTGTTGATTGTGCTTAACTTGTGCTGAACCTGAAATATTCCTTTAAAGTTCAAAGACTATAAGGCATTTTGTAAGTTGACTCAACGCTGTGTAAATGCTTTCTAAACATTGCTGTTTATTTGTCAATTTCTGATTTAAAATCAAATCCTGCACTAACTCAACAAAATATAATTCTACCAGTTTTGGACAGAAAAATAGGTAAATAAAGAAAACTAAAAAGTCAGAAAAGTCTTTGATGAATTCACAATCTCCAAAAACATACTGATTCAGGTTTATTTTTCTCGTGCACAGTTTGACATTGAACATGTGCTGTATTGAAATTGTATGTGCATCATAGCTCTGTCTAGCAGATAAACGCTGTGAGAATGCTGTGCTATTCATCACACACACAAATCTCTATCAAAGGAGGCAACGGGTCGTGTGCAGGTACTACCACTGTCACAGTGATGAGCACTTGTGCCCTGGGCTGTTTCAGGCAATATGTCCGGGACACTGTAATTGGAGTGATGGGTCTGAAGCCAACCGGACACTACTGCGATGTCACACGCTCAAGAGGACTCCGATCTTGCAGGTGATGCACCATTTTAGAGGAATGCATCCATCATGATTTTCCATGATTCAGAGAAGACAGAATTTCACGATACACAAATATTTTTATTAGGGAATTTATTTATGATACGCCTAAAGTGGGAACATTTTTATATATATAAATATATATATATATATATATATATATATATATATATATTGTAT